TTTTCTTCCTCATGCCTGTACGACTCTGAGATCTTAGTCTTTAGTTCCTTCCCTTATTTCCCCATGCTTGAATACTTTTTTCATTTCCCATTCACTTTGGGATTTGAATTTTACCTTGGTCGCTCTTTCAAAGGCCTTGAGTCCTAGCTCCCATGGACATGCCTTCACTGCCTTCCAACAGGTCAAAGAGAAAGAAATAGCCACAGATTGGAATGTTGGGGTGTTCCAATTATCTAGGGCCACCTTGAGTGTCACATCCTTGCCATGACAAAAGACTTGAAGATATTTTGGGGAACAAGACAGAGCCTGTGCCTTCATGGAACTTAATTCTGTGGTACAGAAAGACCACAGAACAAGCAAATAGAATTCTGCGTGATGGGCATCACTAAAAACCTATAATTGACCTACCATGAGACCTCCAGTTTATGTGTGAGCACTTCCTTCCAGTCTCTGGCTATGAGAACATCCCCCAAATGTTTCTCTTAAAGTAGTTTCTTTCAAATACCCTCATGGACCCTGAGGTTGGAGTTTTAACAACTAAATTGTAAGCACTGTGACTAATCCCATTAGTTCTGTCTGGGAATCCTTAAGTAATCATGGGATCTCCCTTCCCACATGACCATAGACATCTTTCCCTTGATTGGGAAGCCCCAGACTCCACACGTGCAACTCACAGGGCTTCCTTCACTTCCTCTTCCTCATCACTGGGAACGACTTTTCTTCTTTCATTGGTGTATATGAACTATTCCAAATAAGGGGCTTCATTGTGGTGTATTTATACAAGCCTATAATGTACTTTGCTAATTCTCTCTCTCATTAACGCCTTGCCTATTCCCACGAGTTCTCTTTTTCTTTCCCAATTTTTCCCCTTCTGCTTGAATCTCTTTTTTTTTTAAAAAAAAAATTGTTTTAGCCTAGGAGAGGAAAAAAGGCAATATTTGTCTTTCGAAGTCTGGCTTGTTTTGCTTAACACAGTGACTTCACGTTCTGCTCATTCTCTACAAACAGCACGTTCTTCACTGTGGGTGAATAATATGCCTCTCTGCATCCACCACCCTTTTTAATCATTTCATCTGTTGATTGGCACCTCGGCTGATTCTATATCTAGGTGATTGTGGATAGTTCTGCAGGTACATCGGTATTTTTATAATGTGCTGATTTCATTTCTTTGGGTGGTGAAATAGCTTTACCACCCAATAGTTCTATTTTTAGTGTTTTGAGGAACCTCCATGCTGATTTCCACCGTGGTTACCCTAATTTGCATTCGCATCAACCCATGTGTAAAGTTGGAATTATTTCTATCACTTTAAAAAAAAAACACCTGACTAGTTATGAAATTCAACAGAAATGTATCGACAAAAAGACACATTATCAATAAAAATGCCGTTTAAACAGTGTTTCTGAAAGCTGAATTGATACGTACAATTTAAAATTCAAAAACTGTTCTATAGAACAATAAGAAAATCCCGTTTACCCTTTTCTTCTGTTAATTCAGTCCTTCTGGCTATAGGCAACCAGTGACCCTAGTTTGTTTAGTTTGTTGTGTTCATGAGAGATATCGTGTGCTTAGATAACCATAGATTTGCCTTCACACACAAGCTAAGCACTCTCTACCCACCCTTCAGTAGACGATGTATTGACATTAAAGCAGCTCTAATCTTTGACAGCTGGATATAAAACCAGTGGATGGGAAGAGTATGCTATTTAAATAATCTTCCACTAGTGCACATTTAAACTACTGTTCTTTTTAATCTTTGCAAATAATGCTAATTAATGGTCTTTCAAGGTGACCCTTAGACTCTAACTTGTCTTCAGCTTGCTCGATTTTTGTGTATTTATAATTCTAAATATCAGTTTCCTTTTCAGACCGCAGATGACTGTCTAGGTGAGGAAGAGGTTTTAGTTCACTTGAAATCCCATCTCGAAAGAAAATCTCTAAAACTTCTGAGCTGTGTAAATGGCCATGGCATTTGTAATCATAGTCCTCCTGGAGATAGCAGCGAAATTTCTGTTGTTCTCAGGTCCCCTGCGTTTGCCAAACATGGTAAAAGCGATGTTGCCATTCCAGGCTCGGGGAGAAAACCAGCATATGGTTATGACATTGGCGTACAGAAAACTTAGCTCCTGTGGTTCTCTGGTGGCCTCCCTCAAATGCTGGAGGAAAACAGTCACCCTGCCACTACGGAATCTTGTGGTTACCCATCAGAAAAAAAGAAGTCCTAGGATTGGTCAACAAGACGTATTCTCGTGTCTTCTAGTTTCCTTCTCTAAGAACGCAGCATTAATAAGCAACTGTAGCTGCCCCCGAGACTACCGGGCAAGAGGTGCTGTGTCACCCTGTGCGTCTTACACGGTGTGTGGTTGGGAGAGAGTTTTTGTAGAGTCGTGCTAGTGAATGCAGCTAGACTTCATCTACAGGTTTTTGGAATTACAGAATATTCTGAAGGATACAGAAGCTGTAAAGAAGCCCTTCAACTAGAAGAAAGCATCGTTGGCTCAAGAGCTGAAGATGAAGGCACAGTGAAGGAACTGCCGACCTCATTGCAGCTAAGGTAAGAATCTGGCAGAAATGGGGGAGGCGTGAGGCAGGAGACTCTGAAATCCTGAGAAGTAACTCTTGCTCCATGTATAGCTACAGGTCCATGAAGGACCCACAAGAAAAGCCCCACTTGGAAACCTTTGAGGACAGTAGAAACATTGGCCAGAAATGTGTGGCAGTTTTGAACCTGAAAGCTAACTGTTAGAAGCCTCTGGAAATCTGGCAGGGGGCAAATAGAAATTCTTGATGAAGGCAAGCCATGGTGGGTTGGTACAGGCATCTAAACTTGTACCTTTATGGTTCAAGCATAAACCTAAGCGTGTGACAGTCGGAGAGTCTCTTAGGAGGGAGAAGTAACTGTCCTCACAGTCAGCCATTCAAAGGCAGCGTTGTCAACTGGCAATACTGTTCCAAGAGCTTGTCACCGTGCAGATGTGGCCTCCTGAGTTTGCAATTATATTCAATTCCAAGTTGCAATTCAAGGTGCAGGCTTGGTTCTGTGACTACAGTACAGATTTGCTCCGAGAACTAACACCTAGTGAAGGCTTACTATCAAGCAAGTAGGATTTCATCCCTGATCTCACCAAAATGACAAGAGGGTTCAGATTAAATGATGTCTCCTTCCAATATTCAAACTTCCTCTGAACCTGTGAAAACTGTTTTGTTTATTTCTCGCTCCTTACAAAGAAGAATAGCTTGGGGGCAAAGAAGATGGTGTAAGTGGAACTGCAGGAAGCCAACTTAACTCAGAGCCCTAGAAAGTTTATTTTTATTAGAAATTTTCTTTCAATGCTGTTTTATAAAAATGAACCATCCTACCTGATTACTTCGTAATGGAAACCATGTTAAATTTTTGTATTTTTTCTCCTATTAGCAGATAAATGCCTCTCCTACACTCTCTATTTTTAGATAGCACTATGACAGTCATGCATGCAGAACCTGGTATTATCTCCAGTGCACATGTAAGACTGAATGAAGTAGGTCCTTCCACCCTACCCCTTACCTTTACTTCAGGTTCTGCACCGCACTCAGTTGCCTGCTAACCTCCCTTTCTCCACTCCGTCTCTGCACTGAGTGTGTGCCCAGATTCCCACGAGGCCTCTATGTTAAGTCACACAGTAATATCTCTTTCCTTCCTTGCTCACCCTGCTGTTTGCATCATTAGTTCTGCCATATGAGCTTCAGATTTTGCTTCTCATTGCCTTCCAACCATCCCATCAATGCAACAGCCTTGTCTTCCGACATTTTCCGGATGATCTTAAACCTGTCACAGATTCTCCACACGTTTGTAGGCTACCTGGAACCTAGCATCTGCCTGCATCTCTCTCCCATTTCCTCTCTTCCATCCCTCCTTTTTTTCCTCTTTCTGTTCTCACAAATCTCTGCGATGCTGCCCTTCCGCCCTCTCGGGCCTTTCCTTTGAATCTCTGTTCCCCAGACTTTCCTGGCTCTTCCTTCGTTCTGTCCTTGAATATAATTATTATCTCCATAACCCATCAGGATGCTATTGACCCACATAATCTGCTTCCGATTTCCCTTTTCAAAGCTCAGGGTTATTATCTTTGGGTGTTCTTATTCCCTCAGCTAAATAACAATGTGATTGAGGGCAGTTATTGTATCTTATTCTTAATTCTAGAGTCAAACTACCTTAAAGTGTAGTCCTTGCCCTCTTGGTTATCTAGTGACTGTAATTCTGGTCTGGGGTTTCTCATCGGCAAAAAGGGAAATTATGGCCAGTAGCCTTCTCTGTGGAGTTTGTGGGCATTATACAAGAAAACGTATGCAAGCCGGGCAGTGGTGGCACACTCCTTTAACCCCAGCACTCTGGAGGCAGAGGCAAGTGGATCTCTGTGAGTTCGAGGCCAGCCTGGTCTATAAAAGCTAGTTCCAGGACAGGCACCAAAGCTACAGAGAAACCTTGTCTCAAAAAACAAAACAAAACAAAAACAACAAAAAAGAAAGAAAATATATGCAAAGGCTAGTATTTATAATTTCATAATCATCTAGTAAATACTAGTTTTAACAAATAATATTCATCTTATCTCAAAGTACTTACAGAGTGCCCAATCTTGGAACTTGGATGAGTCAATTGCAGGACACGGGGCAAGAGGCAGGGTGTGTGGGCAGGACACTGTAGAATGGAGAAATTTCCTGGTGTCACTAAAGTCATCTCATAGTGGCTGGGACTTACTGTTTTCTGCCAGCCAAATTTCTTTCTAAGTCCCTGCCACCTCTTAGTCCTGCTCCAGAGATTTCTGTAGGTTTGGCCCAGTGTATAGGGGCTGCCTTCCCGGAGTATTCTAACTCTCCTGCCAAAAATCTCACCTGCTGCAGAGAACAGATTTCTAGTCTTCCTGGGGTCTCCAATGTGATACCAAAACTGTGGACCACCAGCGCCAACTTCCTGCCTGCAGTTTTATTGTTAGGCCCCAAGACTAGTCCGCTGAAGGCGGAGAACGGGCTAAGTAAGACACCCTGCTCTCTTCTCTCTGGGAATCCTGGGAAGGATGCTTTCAGCTGGGACCTCTTCAAAACTTAAAGATGCAATGGGGATAGGCGCGCTGCTCACTGGAGCCACGAAGGCAAATTTCACTGATGCAAAAAAGAAAAGAAACATTGAACTATGCAGTTCGAGCTTTGATAGACATCATGAATGCTAGAACATTGAATAGACCAAAATCCAGGCTTAAATGATCTATGTCCTATTGAAAACAATTCAGAAAGGCAAGAAACACAGAGCGAGTTCCAGGACAGGCTCCAGAGAAACCCTGTCTCGAAAAACCAAAAAAAAAAAAAAAAAAAAAACCACAAAAAACAATTCTAATAAAAGCGAAAAGTGTAACCAAAGGCGCCATAGGCCAGTCCTGGGACAAACACGTGCTTTCTTCTATTCAAGCTGTATAAAATTTTACAATTTGGACTGTCTAACAATAAACTGGATCATAATACCTAGTTTGCCTGGCTGTAGTGGCAATTTCATGATATAAGCAAACTACCGATGGTGGCAATAGCCCATTAGCGTCTTTCCCTCCTGCTCCAGAATTAGATGTATCCAGCAGCTAGGGCGAGAAGTGAGACTCCTGATAACATTTCCATAAGCAGATGAGTAAGATGGTGGGAACATTTCCGAGAAGTTGACCTAGATTGTGCTAGGTGTTGTTCACTTCTCTGAAACAGGCGTGCTCTGCGCTCAGAGCTATTCACACGTGTCCACCTCGGTGCACAGGGCTGCCTGCTCCCAGCCCAGAGATCTGAGCTTATCTTGGGTTTAACCTCAATTCCGAAGTGATTGCCATTTCCAGCAATGCCATTTCCCTAGCTGAAGGAAGTCCTTCCCAAAGGGTGAAATCCCTACTGCTTCATTTGTTTAAATTCCCTTACTAGTTTTATTACTCAGGGTGTGGTGTTTTGTTTGTCGTCCAATCCGCCCCCCTTCGCCACCATTGCAGGTTATTAATAATAAGTCAACAAACGGGGACCTGTCCTGAGAAAGCAACACGATTTCCTTGACTGCCCAGGACAAGATCTGAGCTGGGGTAGGCTAGAGATAAGGTGGCCAGTTCAAGAGGCACCGTCGAGAGCAAAACTGGGGAGTGGAGAGGAGGGATCCCAGACCCCGGGGTTGGGCCCGGAGGGAAAAGAGCAGGAGGGGAGGGTAGAGCCCTACAGGTCCCAGCAGCTCCCCTCACCCCTCTCCACGCCTCCTGGGTTTCCCCCCTGGCTCCGGGTTTCCTGTTTCAGTTCTCGGCGTTCTCCAGCAGCAGGTGCTGGTTTGCCAAGCTCCGCTCCAGCAGCGGCGAAGGAAGGCGAGGGAGCGGAGGGGAGGAACGCGGCACGCGGCGGCTGCAGCGGCTCGGGGCGGGCGGGCGAGCGGGCGAGTGAGGAGCGCGGCAGCGGGCGGCGGAGCCCCGGGGCGCCTGAGAGCCGCGGCCCCGGCGTGCAGTCCGCCCAGCGGGCTGGCGGGCCGGCGGCATGGGGGAGCGTCCCGCTCGGCCCGAGCCCTAGCGGCGGCCGCGGCGGCCCGGCGCTGAGGCGAGAGGTGGCCGCCTGGCGGAGGAGGGGACCCGGGGCCGGCCCGGCTTCCAGAGCATGTCGTGATGGCTGCGGAGAAGACACTGCAGGTGGGTGGCGCGGCGGCCCGCGGGCTGGGAAGAGGGCGGGGGTGGCCGCGGTCGCCTTCCTCGCCGTCCCCGGGGCTCCGTGCTCCCGAGCCAGCCGGCGCGAGGAGGCCCGCGGGGCGGGGAGGCCGGGCCCGAGCGCGGAGCTCGGGATCTGCCGGGGCCGGGGCGGCCGCGCTCAGGGTACTCCAGGCCCAGGCGGCTCCGACCCCCGAGGTCGAGTGGCCCCGGCGCCCGGCGCCCAGGAACGCCGGGCGGGAAAGCCGAGCGCATCCAGCCCGCGGGCGGCGCCGGCCCCGCGGGGAATTCGAGCGAGGTGAGGCCGGGCCCGGCGGCCTAGAACGCCGGTCCGGTGGCTCCTGCCCGTCCCCCGCCCCCCCACCCCGAGGGCCACGGCCAGCGAAGATGGAGGTGGGCCCGGGCGCCGCCGAGGGAAACGGACCCACCGCTGTGATCCTGCCGCTCGGACCCTCGCGCGCCCGTGGGGTGAGGCATCACCCGGCATCTCCGTCCAGCCCCCCGCCATTCGCTTTTCTTAGCCCTCCTGCCACCCGTCCTCTGGCGGGTCTAGGGAAACCCATCACCCTTCGTCCCGGTCCCCGCTCCTCAGCCTCCCGCCCGAAGCCCGCGTCCATTTCTGCTAGGCTCATATTTAACTCCCCGAGACAAGGTGCTCCTTAACTTGGAGAAATGAATCCCGCTTTTCGTCCCTTAAACTGTTTCATCCTTTATTGTCCCTTAAAGTCCTTACAAACAGCGGTTGCTTCCCCGTACTGATTACTCTAACTGGGTTTCCTGCTGCTTTGGGTATCCGTTAACACTCGGGGGCTTGTGTTCTCAGTTTTGTGATAAAGAGATGAAACCGTAATCCACATTTAGGGAAAGTTCTCCTATTGGTTGCAGGACTGTCTTGGAGTATCTCCAGCTCCATCAGGCGCTTATTGATTCAGATTTCTTTTTCTCATTTTTTTTAAACCGCCTTAGAATAGATGGAGAGATAATTGGGCCTAAGCGTTGTATATTTAGAAATCTGAGAAAGTTGTACAGTTCTTCACGCATTTTCTTACTGAGAGTTTCATTCTCTACTTCAAATATAAACACAAAACAGGGGACATGCCTCAAACGCTTTATCTTTTTTTTTTTTTTGACTTTCCAAGACCCATTAAAAAATTTAGACCACAGGTAGGAGCAATGGGATACATGCTTGTGATTCCAGCACTCATCTGAAGCAACAGGATCCTAAATTCGAGGTTAGCCAGGGCTAGATAGGAGGATGTCTCAAACAAAATCATGGGTAGGTACAAGGGCATGACTTAATTTGTCTCTTACGTGTCTAATGAATTTGACTTACAGTTTCTTAATCTTGGTATTATCTGACCTTTGAATAGACAGCTTCACTAAAGATTTATGAAAACCAGTCTTAACGTTGGTCCACACCCCAGGACCGTGCATCCTTCAGATATCTTTCTGGTCACATCTTGTCTTACTAAATCTTGTCATTGTCAATCTGTCTACTTGAAGGTACTGTAAAAAGACCCATTTTCTGTTCAATCTGAATCCATGATTTAAATGTTTAAATTTTGAATGTTTGAATATCTTCCTTTAAAGAATCACTTTTACTTTCAAAGTAAGTTGCAATTTTTCAATTATCTAACCATTAAGACCAGGATACATGCCTTTAATCTCAGCATTTGGGAGGCAGAAACAGGCAGATCTCTTGAGTCCTAGCCCAGCGAGGGCTATAAAATATGCATCCTCATCCCCAAACAAGCAGCCAAACAAAACCAGAAAACATATACAAAATAAGTGAGCATTTTCTTTTCTTTTTGATATTTGGGGTTGAACTCTGAATGCTAGGTTTTTTACCACTGATTTGTATCCCATAACCCAACTTGGATAAGAATCAAGAAATGAATATTTTTAATGTATATATAATAATGACAGCCTAATGAACTATTCAGTGTCAAGAGATCAATATTTTTAACGTATATATAATAATGACAGCCTAATGAACTATCCAGTGTAATGGAAAATACTGAAGGATGGGAAGTAGAAACTTGGAGTGTTTATATGCTAAACGGAGCTTTTATTAGTCACTTCCTTTTACCTTTTTTTTTCAGATCACAATAAAAATATCCTGTTTTATATTTTGGGCTGGTATGGAGATGTTTTGGTGGGTTAGAACTGCCAAATTGGACCCCAAGAGGTTAATAGAAAATGTTCCTTTAAAATTAGTCCAAATTGAATTACCTTGCTATCATTCTAGCAGAGTTCAGTGACCCTTGCATTGAACTACTGTGTATGTCTAAAAATGTTGCTGTCAATATCTGCTTGGTGATTTGTTTTTTATCTAAATTTAGAAGAGTTCTTTCATTCTGACTTGAGATTTTTAAAGAACCAAGATGTTGAGGAAATTTTACAAAGAAACTTTTTAACGTGAGACTGTAAAATAATAAGCTGATCTGCCAATTCTTGCTCACTGGAAGTTGTTTCGTTGTTAAATCTCTAACCTCTAGAGGAGTGCTTCCTAACGGAGCATAATGCTCAGCGCAAGTCCCTCAGAACCATGAGTGAAGACGTGGAAAATGCAGATTCTGTGTAAGGCCTCAAAATTAGGTTTAAGTAGCTAGTGCTGGGTGAGCCTCATGTCCTAGAACTCTGGTAGTCATGTGACTGCTTATATTGGGAAGAAAAATAATGAATGAGTGGAGAATGAACATTTATCAAAGGAGGATGCCAGGTTTAGCCTTCAACTGGTGAGAGCCTGGAGTTTGACCTGCAGTGTTCCAGTTACTCCAAAAACAAAACCAAAACAAAACAAAAAATATCACCTTACTGCCTTACTGCATTTTAAGTACATTCAACTGTAGTTAACAATGATAGAGTGAGGGTTTCTAACTTAGCCATGCAGCATCCTTGTTGTGGCAGTATTAAAGTCTCTGTAACTTAGTATATTCATGCATATTATTGTGAAGTGGAACCATGCAATAGCATCATTTTTGGGAATTTTTTTTAAGAAGGCAGAGCACTTTCCCCTATACTTAGAGTTATATTATTTAAAGAGTTGAAACCCCCTTCAATTTCTATGTTAATGACCATCAAGATTTACTTATTATATTAACAATGCTTCAAATATTTTCCTTCCACGAGGTTACTTTATGTAATCATCCTCCTGCTCTCAGACATTTGTGTTTTCCTAATATTTCAGTATCATAATGCTTTGAATAGTTCAGTAAAAGTGTGTTTTCAGTGTCTGTGGTTTGAGAATGTCTTTCTAAATATAATGATCGAAAAGAATACGTTTTGTAAACCCACTATCAGAGTAAGAAGGCTGATTTCATCATGTTTTAATTAAAGAGTAACTTGAAAAATCTTTGACAGTTGGGCTGGTGAGATGGCTCAGCTGGTAGTCCTTGCTGCCAAACCTGATGGCCTGAGTTTGATTCCTGGGACTTACAAGGTGGAAGGAGAGAAGCAGCTCCTGCAGGTTGTCCTGTGACCTCCCATGAGCACTGTAGTGTGCACATACATGTAAATGGAAAACGAGAAATGTTAAGACTTTTGGTCCCAGTGACAGAAATTCACACTTTAAGTAGCTATGCAGATTGTGTTAGATGTGGGAAGTGTGAGGAATTAATTATTTTGACTACATCGGTGATACCGTCTTCTCTATCTGTTAGTAGCTGCTCCTTAGTGATAGTGTCCCTCACTTTCTCTAATTTGCAGATGATATCATCTCTGCATTGTGAAAGTAAATGATAGCAAGCTAACCTTAAACTAAAAAGTCAGTGTCAAAAGGCCTAGTGGGTGTGTCCAGCCTGCTACCCACATGAGACTCAGGATGGCTAAGAACAGAGCCCAACACAGCATTGTAGGACTTGCTTCATGGGAGATTTTGTTTATTTTGCATTATTTTTGGTAACTTCATTGTGTAGTTCTCAAGCCCTGCAAATATGCTGTGTGTCAATGTGTCAGAAGTTTGGGCACATCGGGTAGAGGACTCTTGGATAGTATAGGTCAAGGAATGAAGGATTGTATTGTATGTATGGCACAGGCAGATGAGGTCTCCGACATCAGCTCTGTCATTTGCTGACTCTCATCCTAAGTTAGAATCTTCATTTTATTTCTGTTCCTACCCACTAAGCATTGTCTACTTTGGAGCTTTGCTTTGACTGGTACAAAATAGTAAATGAGGGCAGGTAGGATGGCTCAGTGTGCAAAGGCGCTTGCTTCCTCCAAAACTGATGTCCTGAATCAAGAACCCACACAGTCGAGGGAGACAACCAACTTTCACAGGTTGTCCTCCAGCCTCCACAAGCATTTCATGGCATGTGTGTAGCCAGCCAGCTTCCAAACCACAACGTAGAGACTTATTATGAATTATGAAAGCTTGGCCAACACCTTAGGCTTGTTTCTAACTAGGTCTTATAACTTAAATTAACCTGTATCTTTTAATCTTTGTTCTTTTATGTGGCTCGGTTACCTCGACTCTGCATTGCCCATGCTGCTTCCTCTGCATCTTCCTTCTTCCCAGCATCTTCTCTGTCTGGAAATCCTGCTTAGCTATTGGTCGTTCAGCTTTGTAGTAAACCAATTAGAGTGACATATCTTCACAGTGTACAAAAAGATTATTCCAAGGCTGGGTGGTGGTGGCACATGCTTTTAATCCCAGCACTCAGGAGGCAGAGGCAAGCGGATCTCTGGGAGTTCAAGGCCAGCCTGGTCTACAGGAGCTAGTTCCGGGATGGGCACCAAAGCTACAGAGAAACCCTGTCTTGAAAAACCAAAAAAAAAAAAAAAAAAAAAAAAAAGTGCTCTCTCTCCTCCCTCCCCCACCTCTGTCACACACACACACACACACACACACACACACACATACACACACGCTCACTGTCTAAATAAATGTAATAAAAATTTTAAATGAATGAAAAAGTGTTAGGCAAGGCATTAAGTTAGTAAAAAAAATATTTAATAGTATCATTGATTGGATAGGAGGGTTTTTT